GCAAAAAAAAACGATGTATGTCACACGTTGATTGTACGGCTATACGTTGCTAACTCAAAATTGGGGGGTCCCATGGTCGTCGCTGACCGTCGGATCACCATACCGATGAACCCCGGAAGTGTCCGAAATTCATCGACTAATTGTCGTTGGGTTGGGGGGCGTTTTTTCATCTACTTTAAACACTGAGGTTAGACTATTTGTTTTCCTGTTTTCGTATACGCTCCGATTCTTATATGTTTGAAAAAATCGGGCGCGACTCCTATTCGTATACGGACAGTCGTATGCGACTCACAAACGTATACGATCCTTCGAATACGAATCACACTCGCATACGTTCGCCCGTATGCCACTCGATTCGTATACGTACATGTCTATCCGACTCGCCGTCGAATACGGTCCTTCGCATACGAACGCAATTCACCCGAACGATAATAGTCTCCCAGTTGGCTGATCCAGAGCCTTGAGAGCGCTGAGAGCTTCAGTGATCGAGCTGGTCAAGAGATTGAGGTCCGAGGCGCTGTGCGATTTCATTGGAGCTGGATTCAAGAGCTGGTCAAGATGAGCTGCAACGAGTAAACGCTTGTTCTCGTAACGATCAACGAGAGTTCTCCAGGCAATGCGAAATGATTCTTCAGAGACGGGCAAATTAGAGATGAGCTTGAGAGGCTCACCAGAGAGACAGAGGCGGAGGTAATGCATCCTCTCGACCCCTGGAATGTCCTGATTGATGCCAACTAACGATTGGAAAAGATCTCTCCATGGCCTCGATTCCTGATAGATGCCTGAGAATTTTGGCAGAGAAATCTCAGGCAGAGCACGACGAGTTGAGCTGGTCAAATGTCCTTCCCCAGGTACACGTAGTGACTGGTTCAGGTTTGGAGCGCCTTTCTTCTCCGAGAGCTGAAGCAGTGCCACCTTAGCAGCGGCGAAGTTCTTAAGAGCTGAATCAAAGACTTGATGCTTGAAATAGTCGAGAGAGGTCAAATTCTCGATTTTTTGAGAAACATGCTTCTCATGAGAGGCTTCCAGCTTAGCCCAATAGGTCTCAAGCATCATCAGCTTGGAATCAAGAGCAGTCACGCCGAGCCGCTTAATGTCCTCTTCATTAGACCCCTTAAAAATGCCGTCTATGAAGGCTGCACGTGTCGTCTGCAGAGAGATTACGGCTTCGAGAGTAGCCATGTTTTTTATTAATTTTTAATAGTTTTAAGCGAAGAGCGAAATAAAAATATAAAAAAGCAAGACAGCAGATCGAGAGAAGAGTCCAAGGACGCAGGCCAATAACAGAGGAGAAAGCAGCGGAAAATAATAAAAAACAGACGGCAGCAAAAAACCCAGTTCCGGAGCAGGCGAGAAAATTCAACAAAAACTAAAAAGGAATAATGTTCAATTCTCTTTAGTCGCGCTGGTCTATTTGAATTTCCCGCCTTGAGATGGTTTTTGAAAGTGCGCCTAGTTGCTGGGTCGGTAGAGCAGGTCTCTGATGTGGCGCGAGAGAAACTGGTTGAGTACCGCTTGAACTGGACGAATTCAAATTTTCTCGGGCAGCGACACTGCACTTTGAGCTCCACTAAACACTGAACACTGACGCTCTCCAATTAACACTCCCGTAAAACACTAAATGAGCGCGAAAACTAAAAAATATCCCGCGTATCCTTCGAAGGACCAAAATGTTCGATGCGGGATCTGGTTTCGACGATATTTTCAGGCGATGGACGAGATATAATCGGATTACGGAAGAGTGCGTGAGAGGATCAAATAATCACTCGCGAGGCATCGGTCAAAAGTGTCAATTTCAATTAGTAAAAGAGTCACTAAATACACTTGTATTTGTCACAAAAAAAGCTGAGCGCGAATATTAAAATTCAAGCTACTATTTAATTCCGAGACGAACTAATTAAATGAGCGGATCAATGGATTTAACAAAAGAGAAGTACTGAGAAAAGCGCGTAAACACTCTCACGGTCGATATGCAAATGAGAGAGAGTGATAAGCCGCAAGGTGGGAGG